ACTAGGAAATACTTGAATAATGTTATCAAAGAAAATTATAAATAAAAGCGGTCCCAGGATGCTTCCTTGAGGTACTCCACTGATAAACTAGAGCATACGATGAACTAACCGAGATATCATAATTTTTTAAATTGGTTTTTTGTTCTCTTCCCGTGACGGAGAATTTTATCTAACAATAACTAATTCCGCGCATCCCGCAGTTATTGAATTTATCGAGCATTAATTCTATATCTATCACATTAAAGGCTCTCCCAAAATCAAAAAAGAGAGACAAAGACTTACTATTCTCTTCGAAACGAGATAAAAGAAAATTATATAAAAACATTATAGTCTTTTTTAATATATTGGATTTTACATACATTTTTTAATACATTTAACACATTGGAATACTTTAGGAAATATAATATTAAATTATGTAAAATACTTTGTATAATAGTAAGTACATACAATATATAGCAATATTTGTACTTAAATTATTTCCTTAATAGTAAATACTATAGAAATATTTGTACTTAAATTGTTTTATTAATAACAAATACTATAAAAATATTTGTACCTAAATTGTTTCCTTAATAGTAAATACTATAGAAATATTTGTACTTCGTTTCCTTAATAGCAAATGTTATAGAAATTAAAATTTTTAAACTTAATTTCCTAGCTTGAAATTGCCTCTAAAGCTCCTCTGAAAGATACGTTAAACAGATACGTCATGCGTGCTACCAGAGTGTCAGCAACAAACTTGATAAGAGAGCATGTAATCCCATCCTCGCCAGCTGAATGCTTTTTACTAACAAACAAAATAACCTCGAATATCTCACGCGTAAAAAAAGTAAATTTGTTATTATATTGTTTTTATATATTTCTTGGTTTTTATTGATAATTTATTTTTATTTATGATTTTGTTCGCAGATTCTATAAAAAAGCTATCAAAATTCTCAACAACTTCCTGATCGATCGGTTCCCGTTCTCATCGATAAAATAATCCGGTTGCTTTTTGTGGCGTTGTGAACTATGAGAATTGTTTTTTATGTTATCTATTTGATCTGAAGAACAAATTCGCGCAATAAATTTGCTTAGAATTTTTAATTTGTTGCTCGTGAAGATTTTTTTATGGTTTTGTACCGTGTAAATACATTCGAGTCTTTTGTATATCTATATATCTTCCTCTATAAATTCCCTCGACAGCCATGGCTTGCGATAGAACGTAATGGCCATCTTTTCTGAACTCGAGAATAGCATGTTCGATGCGTTGCAAGTTAGTTAAAGTAAAAAAACATTTAAACAAAACAATTATGGGAAAACAAAATCGTAAGTGTCTCGTTTAAACCAACTTGAGTAGCAAGGATTTAACAGAGTTGTAAGGAAGAAAAAGCAATAAAAATCGGAAATACATACTTATATAAACTACATTACCATTTACAAATTGAAAACTTTTTTTCAACAATTATCAACAAATTCGAAAATTAGAAAATGCCGTTGCCCTTTATCCGCGACGGCTGCAGCGGGGGCGGTTCTTGTGGGGAAGCTGTTAACCCGTGTTTCGCATTCAAATTTTCATTCCCAAGAATCTTATTTATTCGCCAAAATTCAATTCGCGTCCAACTTAAGTTGTTAAAGCGGATTACAACTTAATGCCAGCGGATGAGAAACTTAATCCGGTAAAGGTGTGAATACAAAACTTCAAGGGGCAATCACGCAACAAATTTCAGAATACGCAGACGGATGAACGCGCATAGACCTTATTTCACAGATTTCCCGAAAGGAATTCGTATCGCGATTATAATGGAGCCCGAAAGAAGTACTTTTTTGTACTTTTTTGAATTTCCGAAACGAGAAAAAGAACACAAAAAAAGTAATGTTCCAACGGTAACATCAAGTTAATATCAAACGTAAAACCTAAGGACTTGGTTACCTTTTTACGTTATTCGTTTATTTTAAATGAAGAACACCGTATTGGCATTAGAAAGAGATAGTGGCGCTAGCGTTCTTGTGAATAATAATAGCAGTAATATCGTCGTAAAAACACAGGTAACATTTACATTTTATAATAATATTGATCTACAACCTTATTTTATAAGTGAAAGGTTGATTTTGCTGGGGCTCAAAGTAACGGACTGCGTTGTGAGTCCCCCTTGTGTTTTTGGAGATTTTCTTACTATTTTGAGGATGCTGGGAAGTAAGATTATTTTTAAATTTAAAATATGAATCAAACCACAGAAAATTGAAACTCTCTCATCAGTCAGTCTCTCCTATAACTATATGCATTTTACAAGACATTCATTTGCTGTGAAAAAAAAAGAAAAGGACTGATGACAAAAAAAACACGAAAACCAAGAAGAATAATAAAAATCTCCTAGAATAATTTCAGAAAAATTGATTTATCCACTATCAAGGGAATAAAGGCCCGTATACATGCGCCTGTAATTAATATAGATTTCACTATTCATTAATTAAGTATTTTTGTGGATTCTAAAGCTTACAATGTAAAAAAATAATAATTTAGTTTTGGTTAGTTTTGGTGCTATTCGCGCCGAAAATTGGGACTATTTGTATATATTTGATTTTCACGTTTTTCATTAATATTTTGGCGAAATTATAAAATATTTATGTTTTGAAATATCTAATGAGCAGCTAGATTGTTACTGATTACTATTGCCACAATAAAAGTTACATATATGACACTTTGATAAGATTTTCATATTCTAAAAAAAAGATAGATAGGCTCTATTCCATAAGTCAATCAATTACAATAGAATTCAGGTGCTTAACTATCTTCCTTATTGCGTCATCTGTTACAGTTACCATTTTCAGAAAAATCTGCAATAAAGACTTTAATTTGAAAATGTTGCTATACTCTACCTTGTTCTACGCTAGTATAAAAATTTTATATCTCGATAACGGTAGGTCCTATGGGATCGTCGTTGGTATAGAAATGATCACCGTAAAAAAAAACATTTTTTTTTTGTCTGTCCGTTCTCCGTTCTCGTCTTTGGGTTTTTCCTGAATAACTTCCGAACCGTTGGAGCTACAAATTTAAAATTTGCCTCCTTTTTAACCCTAGACGACGCACATAAGCTTATGAGAAATGGACCTGAGCCGACGCCGGTAACCATTTTTTTTTTCGCGATTTTCGCGATTTTCGACTGTTTTTTGGACATAGCTATGAAACACGATAAGTGTCCGAAATTTAAAGCAATCGACTTCTTATTTGGCACATATATGCCGCTTCGCCCCGTGACAGAACCTATTGGAAATGGGGGGGCTGGGGGGTCGGGAAGTATTCTAAAAAAATAAAAAATCGCGTGTGCAAGGGTCTACAAAAAACAAAATAAAACCGCTTACGGGACCAAAAAATTCTTGAACCAGAAGACGAAGAAGACCCATAAACTTTTATGCTTGACAATTTTTCAAAAATATACAGGGTGCGCCGCAAATTCAAAAAAACTGAAAAGTGGGTATTATTGAAAATTGCAAATAATTAAAAATATGTGTTTCAGATGTCAGTTTCTTTTACATGATGATATAGCCCATATGGACAGCTAAAACTTTTGTATTTAAGGGTTTTAAGTATTGTACAGGGTGTTCGCGATATTCCGTGCAATATTAAAAAACATAATAGGTGCCCCAAATTTGCAGCTACCGACTTCAAGCTTGGGACAAAAGTAGAAGTCTGGACCCGCATTTAGGCTCTTTAAATTGGGCTCAATAAAATAACGCGAAGTATTTTTTTTAATTTTTGATTTTTTTTTGGTTATTTTGGAATCCAGATAAACATCTTTTGCTCCAAAACCATTCATCCGATCGGAAAAATTTTGCAACCGTAATACGTGGGAGACCCGGCACTATAACTTTTGTTTCAAGCATTTTTTCGATTATATACATTATATATATATTATGAACAAAAATCTAAAAGACCCTGAAAATTGTTCTTTTAAAGAGTAAATTAATATCCGTAAATCAAAATTCGTACAAAAAATAGCTAATCCGTTCAAACAGTGTTATAGGCCCCGTCAAGGGCTACAATTTTTCGATTTACGGTTTTCGTCTATCACATATGCTGTTCGAGATATTTGAAAGAATTTAAATGAAAATCACCATTTCTCGCCCTCAATCTAGACGCGATGACGTCATTTACTATTACCACGTACTGCATGGTTTCAGAAAACAAGTAGTTTCTTGAAAACTATTTACTTAATTGGAAAAATTCCTATACCAGGAAACTAAGGAGATCCAAGGCTATATCCTCTATTTCGAACATTGTTGGAATTATATACAGGGTAAGTCGTTTGTGGGAAAAAAATTCTAATAGATCCTATATATTTCCGCTTTTGTGGGTGAATTATTGGCGATAAGTGAAAACGTTTAAAGATGTGATAATTTGATATGAACAGTATCGTAAACTGTGTCGAGAGAGAGTTTAAGGTTTAGTCAATAATGCAGGGGACGCGAAATATTTGAAAAAATATCATTTTAAATTGTAATTACCCGTACAAATTTTAATATTTTCCGAAGTTTGCCTTTTAAGTTCGACGAGATGCGAAGGACACTTTATACAGGGTGTATTCAGAATAAAATTACTTTGCGAAAATTCCATAGTGGTCCGCAGGTGCACGATAGGAAAACAATGCGTCCCTCTAGGAGAAACCGCGAAGCGCCTTCTTTTTGAAATAAAATGCTGATTCGAGCTACTTGCGATTAACTCGCCCCGCCCAGCAACGATTTTTCGAAAGCAATATTCTTCTATCTCTATCTATCATTAACTCTACTCAGTATCCCTGGTTCAAATTTTATAATTAGGTCTGCTTGCTCATTTTCGTAATTTTCGTAAAATGTTGGTTTTTTTCCATATTATTAAGAATACAAAAGTGCAGTGACTATTTTATATTCATCGTGGTATGCTTTTTGCTCATAAACCACCACTATCTGCCAACAAAATAGCTTAAGATTGCTTGTTGGTCACTCGTCTTAGAAAAACCAGCCACTATGTAATTAAATCTTACTTGGACTCTGGATTCGGTTAATCCAATCCTCATGGCGATCTCCTCCCGCATGAAAATGTCCGGATAGTGGGTTTTGGAGAAGCACCTTTCCAGCTCGTTGAGCTGAGCGGGAGTGAATCGAGTCCGGTGCCTTTTCTGCTTCGACGGCTTGTCGCCATCACTGGACCCGTTGTTGCTCAGCGGGCCTCCCAAATTGCCGCCCAAAGTGCCGTCGCAGAGGCCGCCAAGACGCGGCTGATCCAACACTTTTAGCTCGCCCTGATGACGTTTCAGGTCCTCGCCGCACATTTCTTTGATACCTGGAAACAGATGGCATAGAAATGGAGTAAAAACTTTTGGCGTAGAAGGAACACAAAACAAAAATAATAATTCAATCTTGAAAAATTTGTTTTTTTTTTCCAAATTTCGTGTTATAATTTTAAATTTTGCCTTACAGTTTGGTGTATTAATTTCAAATGTTGGAAACTGCTGACCAAAAAAATTAAATTCTAAAGTGGTACATGTGCAAGAGGTGCACGATGTCACACACATGCGTAAAAAAATATATTACTTTTTCAGATTTGGATTCTGCCATTATTTCTAACTAAATCTATTTCGCTCTTTTCCAACAAATATATGACTTGCAAAAATATTACCCGCTACACTCTGTATAGAGCTGGCATATAATACTAACGTCAACAGTCGTAGAATCTGAAATATTTCTTCCAAAAATTACAATTCTTCGTTAAAAAAAAATCTCCCATATTTGTCAATAATAAAAAAAAAGATCAGAATAAACCATAACATCATTTACATTTGAATAAATTTTGGTCACTTTTAAAAACTCCCAATGTTAAAGAAAATAGACGAAAACACATGTAGGTGTTTATAGCTCAATTTTCATAAAAAATATAATGTAAGAACGTCACACGAAAATGTGCATTTAAAAAATGGCTAGAATTTTTTTCTTATGAAAAGCTTAGTGTTTCCATGAAAAAATTACAGGGCACTTTTTTACGGAGAATTTAATGTTTTTAATATTTTCCTAGTTATCAACCGAATACTTTTTTTTATATCACAGATATTGAAAACATCTTAAAATTACCTCTGCTAAAATGTAGCATAGTAGTGGAAAAAACAGAAGTTTGAACCAGTAGGATTTGGACAGTGCCACCTTAGTAAAGAAGACAAATACGTGGCCAACTTATTATTTTGGTTAGTTTTCAAAGAATCAATGGGAAACGCGTACTCGCGTACATTTTTCTGGGAACCACCTGCACTATTCTGCGTACCTTGTGGCAAGTATGTGTTTCTTTTAAGTTGATTTATCGTTAGTCCTTGCTAGTCTTCTTGGTGTTTTTATCTTTTATGTTCACATTGGAAAACTATTTTTAACTGCATGTATAGTTTTTGGATATTTCATTGGAACTAGTTCATTTGCGTCGCAATCTTCCGAAAGTGTCTTTAAGAAGGTGTTTTCCTTCAGAGTATTGCTCGTAATACAAATTGCTTACTGTATCTGCATTATTCTCGCAGTTCTTTTCAGTATTATGGCAGCTCCGCCAAAAGCATGCTTGTTTACAACTCTCGAACAAAAATATTATCTTCACACCATTAAATTCTACGTAAAATGTGCTTTGGAAATGTTTTCATAGAAGCGCAAAATCTTCTATAACAAAAAAGCTACGCGATTTTTTAAAAATTTATATTTTCAAAAACCTTGCTATAACTCTGAAACGCTACTAGATACACATGTGCGGTTTTTACAATTAGATGATGCTTCATGAAAACTGAGCTCCCAACGCTGACATTAGTTGTCATCTATCTTTTATAGAAAGAAGGGGAAGGTTTTCTTTAAAAAGGTTCCAATTTGAAGCACCCTGTACATTTGCAACTTTCCAATAGTTAGGTAAATAGGATTTATATCGTATACGTCGCCAGTCAATCACTTTCATCTGTGGATAACAGTGGAATTCACTTTTAAAAGAAACCTGCAGCAAATCATTCGTAGTACTAGCAGTATAGGCATCAGCTGCAGTTACAAGATGACCTTATAAAAAGGACTGATATCAATATTCCCTTTGCTAAAAATTTTCTTAGCTCCAGTAGCACAATAGTGCTCGACTACTTCAAATAAGGTACCAGCTGCAGTGGCTAGATTGCATTATAAAATGAACTTGGTACACTGAGAAAAACAGGGCATTTTATACAGGGCGATTTAAACCTTAGTGTGGCTTATGCAAAGGCGACCTTCTGAACTTGGACAACGTGGTACCTAAATTTTGCCCAGTATGAAACTTAAGCTTGAAGTAAAAACACTATAACATAATATAAAAACACTACCTTACCTCAAGTATATATCCCGTTTTTTTAATTCATTTTTTTTTAATTCCTTGCATACCCCCCTCACTCCCGCGCGAAACGGACATGCGTGTCGTATCCGATAGATCCGCCCGGCGCGTATATATACCGCGTGAACCGTAAAAAAACAAGAAAAGCACCCCAGTCGACGTCGTAGGCGCCGTGGTCGTCGTCGCCGTCGCCGCGACCCCAACTAAAAACCCGCGGGTCTCGAAACGGCGCCCTCCTCCCCCCCCACGGCGGGGCCCTTAATTGCGTGGCCTACCAGCGTAGTCGGACAATATTGCCTTAATGAGGGCGAGGCCCGTCCAATTTACTCCATTTAACTAGCCTATCGTTATATAATATGGCTGAATCGCTAAAGACTTTAACGTCAATTAGTGTCTATCTCGCGTTCCACCCCACCCCACCGTCATATAAACACTTACCGACTGAGCCGAGGCTGTTTAACATGACGCGCGTATGTGTATGCGTGTGGCGGCCGTATGCCTCTACCCGGTATGCCTGTATTGTAATACCTTCGAAACCGTGTGACGCACCGCACTGTTTATTTAATGAGTACTGATTTGATACTGAATTGTGAATATGTTGTTGATGCAAGGAAGAGACATTAGTGGGAGGCGAACCAATAGGGACCGGACCCCTGGGTGGGCGGGGTCCGAACCGGATGGGCGGAGCATGCACCGCGGACTACCGTGACGGCGCGCGTTTTTTCCTCCCCCACCCGCCCAGGGGCGCATGAAATATGAGGGTGGGGAGAATGTCGACGCGCTGCGAGTTTCCTGATTTTTGTTTTTGTACGAGGTGTCTGGAAAAGTTAGCAGTATATATAAAACAACCTTGTTTCCGGTCAAAACTGCGTCAAAAATAATGGTAGTTTTATAGCTGATTATAACGTACCCGTACGTAACCCATAGATATCACCAACATTTAATTCGTTTTATAATTTTACCAATGAAAATTGATTTAAAATATACACAAATACACAGTGCCTACAGCATTTCGGGACAGCTATTTACCCACTTAAAAGTTTATAGATAATAATGCTTCTCTTCTCTGCTCTATTTGTAGGAATGATCCCATCTCTCGGTTGTTGTCCTTATCCCAAAAAAATTCCATCTTGATGCAATGTAAACTACACCTAACAAACCTATGCAGCCGGACGTTGATTGGTGTGGTGACCACATATATGTTTTTAAATTTAACAATTAAACAATGTTATTTTCTTATAAAGCCTCCTACACTCAGAAAAGAAAGACGTTTTAAAATTTAAAAAAAACGACTTGATCAAAACTAATTATAACTTTGCTTCATTGAGGCTTTTGAATAAATCGCTATAGGGTTCTAACATATCTTTTTGAAATTAACATTTGCACGATAATTTTTATTAGTTTTTCTTATTAAAACAAAAGTATTTTCTACATTTGAATTAAAATGAAAAACATTCAAATTATAACGACGCAAATAATAAAATAAGCATCACAAAATATTTATTAAGACGTTTAAAATAGCAATTTAAACATGCTATAGATTTAAAACCAAGAGGTCATCATTATAAATTGTACGATAATTAGTGTGGAAAGTCCTATGTTTTAGTTTCAAGTATATGCAATATTAATATTTTTTAAGGTTTTCTTATTTACCATTGGTTTTATAACAAACAACCAAAATATGAAGAAATCAATATCAAAATATCTTCAAACGTACAAGGTGATTTTAAAATGCTATTTTTTTTTTCAAATTTCAAATTATATAAGTAAATTCGATTGTGGCCTTTCTGGAGCCGAGGCATTAACCATGCCTATAGCCATAATTACACGAACAACTACATAAAATATGCTATAAAGAACTAAAAAATATGTTATATAGGAATTGCACTTAAACATTAAAGTCTGGTTACATGAAATTGTCACTTTGATCCACCTTTACTAACGAACCTGAAAATTGTCTACTTTAAATGATTAGCCTCAAATAGTACAATGAAATCTATATACGATCCAGAAATATCAATTACTACTTGTAAGGAATATTAATATCTTCTTCAAAAAATCTATCAAAAAAATTCTCCATAAACAAAATATTTTCTGATATACATGAAAGCTTTTTGCAAAACTTCTGGATTCCTCCTGCGTCGGTTTTTGCTGAGTCGAAATTGCTGACGTTTCGTCAATCATCCTGTGGGCTTCTTCAGAGCTTGACTGAAATTGGCTCTGAAGAAGCCCACAGAATGATTGGCGAAACGTCAGCAAGTTCGACTCAACAACAACTGACGCAGTAGGAATGCAGAAGTTTTGTAAATATTATATTATTCTATACTATTCCTACGTTCGATCTCACCTTGACTATGGCGGTGTGATATGGAGTCCTCAGTATCATAAATATATAGACAGAATCGAGAGAATACAAAAAAAGTTTGTTTTCCATTTAAATTTTAGATTTAACCGTAACTTACTAACTTATTCGTATGAAGCTAGTCTTAATTTCTACCATATACTGAAGTTATCTGTTAGAAGAATTATCTCCAGTGCTATATTTTTGCATAATATTATTAATAGTAGGATTGACTGTCCTTTACTGTTGGAAAAACTATCCTTCAATGCCAGAGTCGTTATAACAAGAACTCCTTCATTATTTTACGTGCCTAGATTTAATACAAACTTAGGTAACAATTCCCCAATATCTCTTTTACATAGACATTACAATAATTATTTTTCGCACATTGACATCTTTGCGTTATCACTTAATTCGTTTCGAAATCAAGCAATTAGGGTTTTTCTATAAATTTATTTTAATTTTTAATTTATTTTAATTTTTGATTTGTTTTCCTTATTTTTTCACATTTGTTTTTTGTAATTCACGCACTTAATATACAGTGTTAGTTTTGGTTTAGTTTGGTAAGTTTGATTGTTATTATTTTTTTTTTATCTTCTGCTTATCGTAGATATAGGTAGGTACTTACTTATAAGTTTTACTTTGTTAATTAAATAATGGTATAATTGTTAGTGGGTCCTTGTAAATTGTGAAGTTAGTTCTTCATGTTAGGGCACCTTTGTAATAAATAAATAAATAAATAAAATAAATAAATAAATAATTAAATAAATAAATACTTCCTATTAGCAACTCCAATATATCCAAAACCTAAATTATTGAAGAAGCATCCTTAGTTAGAAGAATGACTTCTCAAAGGTGGTCAATCCACAAACTGTGAGAAACTGTTTGCACAGCGCTGGGTACAAAGGCAAAGGATTGGATTTTCCAAAATAAGTTATTAACAAGTCTATAGAGTTTTGTGAAAATGTGATATTCACTTCAGCATATGTGCCCGACGATAAAGCATGGTGTCGGCAATGTTCTAATTTGGGGAGGCATGTCAGCATCTGGTATAGGAAATTTTATTTTTATAGATGCTTCTATGGATGGGCATGTTTACCTCAACACAGTGTGAGAACAATTCAACCCTAGCATTCAAAAATGGGGACTAGGGGGCCGTTACATGTTTCAACAGGATAATGATCCGAAGCATACAGCTCAACTGGTACAGGAATACTTAATACAATCATAATGTTCGGCAACAACTGCAAATCCCCCCTCAGTCACTTGATATTAGCCCAGGGGAAAAAGGCTCTTAATGCCCGAGTTACAGAAGAATGGATTAATATCCCAAGCAAAGTAACAAGAAAAATCATAGTACGCCATAGGCTCAGAGCTATAATAAAGGAGTTATACCACAAAATATTAAATTGTTAAAAAATAAGCACATACAAGAAGATAGAAGCACAAATTATTCGTTATATTTATTTAAATGTATGGAGATTCTTTTCATACAATTTTGTTCAATAAATAACTAATAAATCGCGGGGTCATGGGCATGCCGAGTGACGTCATGATCCCCGAGATGACCTTCTTTGATAAATCGACCTTTCTCTTTCCATCAAGGGAAGATTGGAGAGAGGGCAGAGTCGGCTCCTGAGATGGACTTGTCTGGTACACGGACGGGTCCAGAATGGGAGATCTGGCCGGAGCTGGAGCGTACTGCGAGACAACGGGATCAAGCTTGTCGGTCCCTCTGGGTCAGTACTGCACTGTGTTTCACGCGGGAATTTTCGCTTTATTGATGACGGCCAGAGAGGTGCTTCGGCTCAACTGCGGAAGCAGGAGAGTCTTCTTCTGCTCGGATAGTAGGGCTGCACTCATGGCGCTGAAGTCAGTGCGTACGCGCTCCTTGTTGATAAAGGAGTGCAAAGGGGTACTGAGGAGGGTGGCTGAGGAGAGAAAGGTCACGTTGCTCTGGGTCCCGGATCACACCGGTATCCGGGGCAATGAGGCAGCGGACGCCTTAGCCAGGGAGGGCTCCTCGCATAGGCATATAGGGCTAGAGCCCCGCTTGGGGATCGCCCCGTGTGTGAGGCGGGGAGCTCTCGAACCCTGGGCGAGAGACCGGGCCGCGGGGGGCTGGAGAGTTGCTCCGGGAATGAGGCAGGCGAGGCTTATGATGGATGGGCCCGCCCTTCTTCGGACCAGGGAGCTGCTTAGACTGACCAGAAGGGAGTGTAGAGCACTAACAGGGGCCTACACAGGACATTGCAGGCTTAGGAGGCATCTTTGCTTGCTAGGCATTAGAGACGACCCGGAGTGTAGGTGGTGCATGGAAGGGGAGGAGACCCCGTATCATCTGCTCACCGAGTGCCCTGCCTTGACATGGGCAAGATTGGGAGTCTTCGGAACGGCCCTGATCGATTCGGACTCAGTGCACGGTATTGGGCTAAAGGAGTTGCTGACCTTCTATAGGAGGGGCGGCATTCTGGACGCCCTCTAGAGCGGCCTGGGGGCACAACGGGCCCATCTGGTGGCCTAAGTGCTTGGACGCCCGCGAGGGCGCCACTCTTTAATACCAATACCAACTAATAAAATATTTTTTCGTTAATAAACCATCAGTTCGAGAAATTGCTTTTTCATGTGCTAAAGATTAAGTTATTAGATATGAATATAGCATTTGTTTTTTTATTTTTCACTCACGAATATTACAAACTGTCATCTACTGAGAAAAAAAAATGTATGGAGACTTTTTGATATTTAAATCACCAACCAAAATTGGTAGGTACACCAGATTTCACGGGTTTCACAAAGATTTCACAGGTTTTAAGTTTTACGTATTCTACAAAGATTTCACACAATTCTAAATGATTTTCCAGATTTCACCGAATTTGAAAAGTACTTTATATGTTATGTGGAAATTGTATTCCGCTTTAATTAAAAAGGTATTAGGTAAAAATGTTATATAAAAAACACTTAAAACTTTTTTTCAAAAAATGCGAAAGAGTATTGTCAATATAAATTCCATAAAATTTCAATGTTTTCTCAAAATTTTGTTCCTTAATTTTTTTTCTTCAGTATTAATTAACCTTTTTGTTATTGAAAAGGATATGTACATTTAGTTAGCAATTTCGATTAAAAATTCTGAGTTTTCTGTCAATTAAAAAGTTAAATTAAAGCCAAATAGAAAAAAAAGCATTTTTATGACCTTGAAAATGCCAAGTCAGGTGGG